ACTTGGACACATTAATAACAAGGCCTCACGTGAATTGATTGATCGCATCTCTCCAAGCCCGTCAGATATTTACGCTTTGGGTTATTCGAATTTTTTCTATACCGTATTAACTAACATATATCGCCGTTCGCAATGTTTTTGGATTACTGTGTTGAACATTTGATTATTAAAAACTTTGATCAATTGCATTTAATTTAAAGTCAAATTTTTGAATTATTTAAATTTAAACAATGTTTATAATCAATATCTGGTTTCTAGAAAGGAAAAAATAACATGGATTATGTACAGCGAGATGTTTTAGTTATATTATAAATCTTCCTTTATCAAATCTAAAAAAACTCAATTTGAATGCGTTTAACCAAAAAAAATAATCAAAAAATTTAAAAAATGAATTAAGCCCAGTTCCATGGCAGTAATAACAACAACATTCATGCACCTAATTATTTATTCCCATAACATTACTATTGGTAAGTTTTTACATTGTAGGTGTGTGGAGGCTCGTATCGTAGATTCATCATCTACTTAATGGAATACCATCGGCTCTAACGAATGGAGCATCATAGACCTCACCCATCCAAAATGGTACGACTCCCACTCACCCAACCAAAATTGGACGACTCCCACTTTCCCATCCAAAATGGGACGACTCCCACTCAACGAGTTCCACTGGAAGGCTCCAACACAAGATAGATGGTTCGCTTCATTTAATAACACACTCACAAGGCCAGATATCGCAGAGAACAAAACTGAACATTTAATAAACTCCGCACAGCAATCAGACGCATCATTTCAAACTTGCGTGGATGAATGTGGAAAGCTTTGAGATTGAATTGAAAAATTCTGAATTTTACATTGTCTTCTTAGCTTAATACAAAAATTTGATGACAAAAGTTGCTTCTAGAGATTATTTCTCTAATAAATATTGTTCCATCAGCATATTCATCCCATGTGCCCGTAAAGAAATTTCTTTGAAGTGTTGAACATGACACGTTTTGTTTTGCTTATTTTGTTAATTAAATAGGTATAATGAAGCTATGATCTAATTGATGAAAAATGGTCTCTTTCTTTAAATATTTTCTTAACATTGCAGTCCTTATTCATTTGAAATTGCAATTAATGCTCGTTTTCGGTGACATTGTGTTTTTAATAAAATTCTAAATTTTTGTAAAACCTTGATTAATTTTATATTGCTTGTATCACAAAAATGCAGAGTGATATATTTCTCAAGCCACTTATCCTCAAAGGCTAATGTCACCAATTCTATAAATGCAGACACGCCATTCCCTCAGCTCCAATTGTCATTTATTTTTATCTGACACAGCTACGGAAGCAACAAAGAAGTAAAAAATGGAAGAGAATAGAAGCGAGCCTGAGAACTTAACAAATTGTTTGCCACTAAAAAGGTCAGGAAGCGAGGAAAACATGCGAGGCATCGGTCGCTGTGCAGCGCGGCCTGAGATAAGCGAAGACTTTTTGAATGCAGAAATTAATGGAAAGAACGTTGAAGATGCATTTGGGAATGAGGAAGATGAATGGAGGCGTGACCTTCCTGATGTGTGCTGCAATGCAATGTGATGTCATTTGATCGATGATCTGCTCCGCTCTTATGAGATCTTTCGCATGCTTTCTTCTCTAACAACTGCAAATAAAACTCATGTGTACATTCTTTTATGTATTTTTACGTAGAATCTATATCTATATGTGTAATAAAACATGCTTGTGTGTAGCTTACATGCACAATAGCATTTGCATCCAGATTTATCGCACAATTAAATAGTCTGTGTTTTTTTGAAGACAAAAATACTTCAAAACCATCAAAAATAGTTGGAGCAACTAGTTCCTAAAAAACAAATGAATGTATGAATAATAACAACAACTGCAATGAAGATGGTATAACCATGGACGGAACGAGAGATAACCAACCACTTCAATTATGGTTATCCACTTGTTGTCGTTACTGCTTCTACATTTTATTTTGAGCTATTTATATCAATTTATAAATTTAATCTTTCGCTATGACCTGCATTTTCAACCAGGTTCCAGATACGCCGTGATGCATGTGTGTATACACGCGCAGATGCAAACAACGCGCGCACACGCACGCACGCACGCACACACACACACACACACACACTACTTACATATATTATATAATTTCACAAGCAAATACAAAATTAACGCAAAATCATATAAACTGTTTAAATTTTTTTATAACCTACGCTACACATATGCGTTGTAACTGTTGTTTATAAATAAAAAAAACATGATATGTTAGATACAGTATCAAAATTTTTTATTAATTCATGATTCAAACTTAATTCAAATTATATCGTGTCACATGATAATTCAATTATATATTCTATTTATCCATTATTCAATGGCAGACGACGTCGCAGCCTGGCCAGCTGAACATTACAGAGAAAAAAATATTTTATCATCTTGTGGCTATTGTGGATTTCTGAGAAATGATCACATCTCGTGTTCCAAACCCATGACTCTATGAATAATTTGCCAGACAATTACCATCATTATCTTCGGGATATATTGTAGCGATGCACGTGCATTATGTACAAAGTTTGCGCTGCATAAATGTGCGTACGATGAACATTTGATAGATATATGAGTTTGTTTTCTTATTTTATGAGTGTTATAAAAAACAGTAGATGCACTAAGCGTTCATCTGTCATTAACGTGTCATGGTGAAAATAGAATTATTATTTCTCGGGAACTGCTAGACGATAAACGATCAAAATAATTTGATGATGCAAAAAATAATTAAAGAATTTATCAGATTGATATATTTCTGATGGAAAGATGATTGGTAGGTAGGAGTTTATTATGTAAGATGAACCAATCACTCCGATCTGCTTAGTGCTTCGTGGATTATACATCAAGTGTGCAGGTTTTCATCATGCTCATCATTATATTAATCACCATATCATCATTTTATTCTCATCATATGGTTCATCTTGTTCATCATCATGTTTGTCATCATGTTCTCCCTTCATCATGTTTGCTATCATGTTCGCCATCATGTTTGCTATCATGCTCACCATTATATTCATCACCATATCATCATTATATTCTCACTATTATATCATTACAGCATTCATCATCCTATTTAACATCCTGCTCGTCATCATGTTCATCATCATCACCGTATCATCATAATATCCATCACTATGTAATATGAAATCATAGCAGTCATCATCATGTTCGTCATCAGGTTCATCACCATCGTTTATCCTCATTTTCATATTTATAATCATGCTCATCAGCGTATAAATTATCTTCAAGTGATGCAATGTTTTATTCAATTTTAAATGTTTATGCTTACGTTATTGCTGTTATATTCCAATTGCATTTCAAAAGAGATGTCGGTTTGCTGTAGGCTGCATGGAAGCGCATTCATTATGACGAATGCGAAATGGAAACCTTCCAACAGATGATGTTGATGTCATTTGTATTACCACGGCCTCATCTGTTCATTATTCATTGTGATTAGCTTATGTACCTTTCTAATGGATTGCGATCACGTTACGCTAAATTACTGACGTACATTTCTATCCATTTTTTTTCATTTATCATTCAGTTTTTTTAATGAATTTTCTTTACAAAAATGTTCACTTTTAAGCCATTGATAATAATGATAATAAGATAAATTCATGATCGTGACCGAGCAGATGTCGGCAGATGTTCTCATTCATTGGTTTGTGTCGCATAGAGAAACAGGAGCCGGTACGACGTAATACAAGAATGCATCTTTGAAGCTGAAAACAAATCGTCTTAAATCAGTGTTCTTTATAACGAGGCTGTCACAAAATTCTAATTTTCATAACAGATTTTATGCAAACAGTCGTTGCGTTTTAACGAAACGTTCATTTGAAATTGAAGCATAAAATAATAAGAGTGGACGGCAGATGTCGTTTGCAGCATTGGTTCCTTTGATCGCGAGTCATGTTACGCTTAAAGAACGTCACAGAGGAGGATCATCCTTATAAATTCATTCGACAGAGCGTACAATTCTTAAGAGCATGAGAGGGATAAAAATGGACTTCCAAGTTCAAACGTCAATTATGAGTGAAAGGTATGAATTGAAGAAAATTTGAAAGTGAAGTTAACGAAATGAAATGTACGATGAAGTGACCATACATCATTGCGAACTTTAAATGAAGAATCAGTCAACGCGATTAACCCTCCGAATGGTTCAAATGTAATTGTTATTGTCTTAGATCTTGTTCTCTAAGGCTGGGGGAATTTAAACTTTGTTTTCTAAATCGATCATACATTTTCATAAAATAGTTAAAACAAGCTACAATAAATGTGTTCAACATTCACAACATTTACATATCTACATAAGCAACCATTTTCTAACATTTGAGCCCCAGATAGACACATTCAAAACATTATTATAAGCATCTGCAACGCACCGCATGCACTCAAATGCACGCATAAATACTTTAAATTTTTGAACAACCAGCCATAGACGCCCTACATCAATGCATTGCATCAAGGGTAGCGTCCTAAAACCCACGCAGATTACTGATAGCTTCCCAAGTAAGGACATTAAACTAGGTATTCCAAAATTGTTACTATTACTGGGCTTAGAACTCCAGCTCAAGATCATGCTATTGAGCAAAAAAGTACACAAGTTTATAGAAAGTTTCAATTGTGAAACTTTTAGTTTAATAATGACTAAACACATTTCCATGTAATAAATAATTAAATAGCACAGAAAAAAGTAATCATATTAAAAAAGTTTTATTTCAAATATTAGCCCGTCAAATGTCAACCGTTTTGTAGCTTATATAGTTTCTGTTAATTTTTAAATTTCAATCTCAATTGAAATTCAACTGATTAAATTGAGGCGCGAGAACCCAAAAGCATGGTTAGAAGAATTATTACTAGAAGTATCGAATAATTAACGACACATGACCCGTTCATGTTTGAAGCTGCAGTTGTAGTAGTAGTAGTAGTACTGCTTGGAGGTACAAGTGTGATTATGTCACCAGAACATCGTGGATACGTTGAACCATTTGAACATTGACAGTTCCTTTATTGTTGCAGACCTATTTATTATTAAATGAAAAAAATTTTTAATTAATTTTATTAATAATTTATAAACGTTACATAAAATTTACTGAAACTGAAAAAATAAACTTACTCCAGTGCTATCACAACTGTTTGCACAAGAATTAACAGACAAAATTTTGGACACAGCTTTGCAGGTATTATTATAGCACATCTAACGTAAAATTTATTCTGATATAAATTGGACAATCCATTTTGAACATAGGCAGGATTCGGAATTTGTGTTCCAAAGTTCAAAGAGGCGTAATTACATGTTAGTGTTGTACCAAGAAATGTGATGTATCCAGTGAAATTATGTTGCAGCTGAGTTTTGCCATTTTTAAAAGAAGCATCGCAAAAAAAACATCACTTCAAAATCAATTGAAAATTTAAACTTTCAAAACTAACAGAATTTTTTTTAAATTTATTAAAAATAATTCAATTAAATATAAATTAAATATGAAAAATGTCTAAACTTTGCAGTACACAGATAATAATTTGGGTTGAGTGTTAATAATTGTCGACAACTTCCTACTTTTGTTCCCCTCATATTACCTTCAGTGTAAGAGGACTCTGGAGAACTTTTGATTCCACTGCCCCAAACCAAAGCACACTGAGTGTCATGAGTTCGACATTTGCCTTCCGAGCAATAAGCCATTACCTGAAGAGGTATAAAGAAAATTTGATATTTTTTTGATGAACATAGTAAGGAAGCTAACGAGAAGAAATTTTACGAAAATATCATAAACAATTTCAATAATTTAAAACTTCTCAAAATCAATGAAAATAAAACAAAGCCACTACTTCAATAACGAATCCAGAGTATATAGAGTTACACATCCACCTTACTACATCGCTTCCAACTCTATCTGAAGCGAACACTTTAACTCTGCACAAAAAAATATAACATTTTCAAAGCCATTTAAAATATACAATTATAACCTCTAACGAAATGAGAGCGGCATTATTTATCATGGCTTGCGACTCTGTCGTTGAGATTGTTGGCTTTATAACTGTACCAGTTATGCATAGTTATTGATATATCCGGGTATACAGTGAATTGCTGTGAAGTCCAAACTTCTGAGCCGACCAATATTAAATAGATGCCCACACTGTTGTATAACTTTTAGTTTTTATATATGTATGTGTGTGTATATGTGTATGTAAAATTAAGAAGAAGACCGAATTCTAAACATCAGAGGGCCCGCCGACGTTCCGGCGTTTGTGGGTTTATGGGTTGAATTTTTAATTGAAGGGTTGGCTTATGAACTTATGGGTGCTGGGTCGTCAGTGGATTTTTTGATTTTTCTGAGCAAATTTATGTATGTGTATATTTATATATTATCATCAATAATTTATTACTACCGATTGAATTTTTATTTTTTTTTCGTCTCTGTTTATATGTGAATATGCTAGTTAGTTTATATACATGTGTTAATGTATGTATGTATGTATGTGTATGTATATCTATTATTATCATTAATTTGTCACTACCAATTGCATTTTTAGTTGCTTTTTGTTGATACTGTTATTTTTAGTTGAGGCACTGTTACAAGTATTTATTTACTTTTTTGTGCTTTTTCAAATAAATAAATAAATGTTGTAAAGAATTTGAATTTTCGGTTGTGATACAAATTCAAAGCTTTATAGCTCTACAATATTTCAAGCACAAATTCAAATTAAAATAAATTTTATTGAAAATTCTCATTTAAATTGGTTAGTTGCCTGATTAGGCTGACAATTATTTGTGTGTTATTTGGGCTTGGATTTGTTTGTTTGTTTGCTTGCTTTGTTAATGAAAGTTTTATGTTGAGCTTTAGTGTATTGATATTAAATTTCTATTGATAAGTGGATAGGCAGACGGACTGTTTTTGTTGTCCATTTGATTAAATGAATAATTGAACTGCTGGTTTTGGTGATTTCAGGAGATGAAAGTTGATTAATTTTTAAAAAAATCTTCAAAAACTTTAATCGATTCAAAACAACGCTCTTCAAATTGCCACAGGCTGCCACAACATCACTTTGCAAGAGAATCTTCACGAATACCATATTCTCTCTATCCTCCAACATATCATTTTGCTTTCTTCACAGCTGTTAATCAAATGTCAAGACCAAACACATCCTTGCCACATCACCTCCCAACAAATTAGTGAACGACAAATCAAGAACACCCTCCAAACTTAATGCCAAAACACCATTCAACAGGTTTTCACTACGAAAAAAAACCCCAACTCACCAACTGCTTCAAAGTTTTGAAGCAGTTGGTGAGTTGGGGTTTTTACACCTGGATGATGACTTAATTTAATGCTTCAGTTAAATGTTGACATACTCAAAATTTAAGAACAAATAATAACAAACAACAGATCAAATCATTTTCACTGTTGGTTGCCTCTTCAACTGCAGCTAAATATTTAGAATTAGGAACAAGTTGAATGTCATAGGTTTTGCCGTTCACAATGAATGAACCTCTGAAATAAAAACGTTCAACTTTTAGTATGCGTTCATTTTTGCGGTTATTTTTGACAAATTTACGTAAAGACTTCTACCGAAATTTGAAACTAACTTAATTTGTTGGCCGCAAGTGGTGATAGCTGCATTCGATCTAGGATGGCCTCTGACATCACCGATGTAGTAACCGTTATCTATTGGCTAGTGATATTTTTTAAATAAAAAATTTCAAATGTCTTTAATATATTGAAAACATGAAAAATTTTTTTACTTGAGTGAAAGAATTGTAACGAATGCTAGATGCATCAACGATTTGTTCTTCATAATTCGAAAAAAAGTTGCCTTCAATGAATATTAGTTTTTATATTAAAACATAACTTAAAGAACCAATTCTCACGTGTTCAGGTGCATGTTCAATATAAAATTCTCGTTGTTGGCAGTGGTCAGATCGATGGTCAGTTGCTGTACGTGCTCTAAATTCTGTTTTTAAAGTATGTTTCCATAAAATATTCATATCTATATTTTTATTTTCAAATATTCTAAAAATTACTTTTGTAACGGTGCTGTTAAGAATAGTTAAAATTAAGAAGAATAGACAACTTGCAACAATATAACAGCTAATACATGCATCTTTATATATGTGTTTATGTGTATGTATGTATTACAATTAAGCCCTAGCTTACCTAAAATTACAAAGCTCAAGAGCCCAATTCATTCGCCATTCGGCACCCACCCCACCACCTACATAATGCCTTGGGCTCCAACCTAATAATAATAATGTAAAACTTAAAAATTAACCTACCTATCAATACCTTTACAACGTTTAATTTACATTACAAGATTGTTCCTCTATATAACTCTATATAACTCTATATATAACTCTACTTGTGATGAATAAACTGTTTAAAATTAAATTGCTTGACGATAAATTGAAAAGTATTAGAATAAGTCATGATATGACCCGTGAACAACGAACTGATTATCGTAAACTGATTGATGAGGCTAAAAGTAGAGAGGCTGATGATGGGGAAGATTTTTTATACCGCGTCAGGGGTCCGGTGGGTCGCTGGAAGATTGTGAGGTTTCTCAAAAAAGGAAAATAAAAACTCTGTGTTTTGGTTTGCTTAACATAAGATCAATGTCAAAGTTTAATTTTGTCTATGAACTATTGGATGATAGTTTGGACATTTTTGTATTAAATGAAACTTGGCATGGTTCATCTAATAATGTTTGTCTTAAACTTGCTATGCCACCTGGTTTTACATACGTTGATTTTTTGCGACCTTCAGATCCCCTGCATGGTGGAGTTATTGTATATTTCAGAGATTATTTTAGGTTTAAAAGAATTGATCTGCCACAATTGAAGACATTTGAAGCAGTAGCTATTAAGTTTTTCATCAATCATACTGTAATTATTTTGTTGGCATTATACAGACCAGGATCATCTGCTGTATCAGCATTGTTTTTTTCATGAATTGATCTGTGTTCTGGATGAATTATCAATCCTTTCGGATTATTTGCTGCTCTCTGGTGATTTTAATATTCACATGGAAAATTTGAATAGTTCTACAACTGTTAGATTATTGGAAGTATTTAACTCATATCAGGTTACAAATAGAATAAATCAGCCAACTCATAATTTGGGTGGTACGTTAGACTTGGTAGTGTCTTCCGATGATTTTCCTGCTATTGAATGTATTGTTAATCCATGTGATATATACTCAGATCACAGTTTCATCAAATCGGTTTTTCCAGTGATATTGAAGCAGCCTGTTTTTCGCCTAAAATGGGTTCGTTCTTGGAGTCGGATGGATGAAAAATTATTTTCATCATTAGTTTTGGGTTCTCATATCAGTGGTCCATTTGATTACAATGATGCGGGCTTGATGCTGGTGATGTTTACTGAGGAAATGAAATCTATCATAGATAAGGTAGCTCCACTGCATTTGGTGAAATCGAGACATGTCCCATCAGCGCCATGGTTTGATGATGAATGTAGAAAATTAAAAAGACTTTGCCGTAAATTGGAGAGACAGTATAAAGTTAATAAAACATTATCTAATAGAGATGCTTGGAAAACTGCTCTTATTAATAAAAGTGTTATATTTAATGTTAATAAAAATAACTACTGGAAAAAGTTGGTGGAAAATAATAAAGGTCAACCAAAAAAATTATGGACTATTGTAAACAAATTACTTTGTAGAGCAACCTCACTAGATTCATCAAAGTCATCATCCTGTCAGCATTGTTCTACTGATTTTGCAGAATATTTCAAAAATAAGATTGGAAAAGTTATAAAAGATACGGATGCATTTTATATGCCATTGCAGTCTTTTCACAAACTTTATGATGGACAATTGTTCAACAATTTCTCGCTTTGTTCAAGTGATGATATCAAAAAGATCGTTTTGGAATCACCAACAAAATCATGTCTATTGGATTGTTTACCTACCAGATTGATGAAGGCACACTTAGATTTGTTCTTGCCATTTCTAACCTTTTTTATTAATTTAAGCTTGAAAACTGGTGTTTTTCCGTCTGCATGTAAGCATGCTTTGGTTACACCAATATTGAAAAAACAGTCTCTTGATAAAGATGAAATAAATAATTATCGTCCGGTGTCAAACTTAACGTTTATTTCAAAGTTAATTGAACGAGTAGTTGCAATGCAGTTTGTTCGACATTTGAATGAGCATAATTTACTACCATCATTGCAATCTAGTTATCGGAGATTTCATTCAACAGAGACAGCACTTATTGATGTCACATCTTCATTGTTTGAATCGATGGAATCACATGATGTATCACTTCTTGCTCTGCTTGATATGAGCGCAGCATTTGATTGTGTTGATCACAAATTGCTGGTTCATAAACTTAAACGCTGTGGTATCACCGGGACTACCTTCAAATGGTTTGAGTCTTATTTAATTGGTAGGACTCAGCAGATTATTTTTAACAATGAATTGTCTACAACTGAAACTATAAGATTTGGTGTGCCACAAGGATCTGTCCTTGGCCCCATTTTGTTTCTGGTTTACACAGCTGATGTTTTCAACATAATCAAGAATCATAATTTTAAGTGCCATGGTTATGCGGATGACATTCAGATTATTGCTACTAGTCATGTTACATCGTTTCCAGTCATGATTGATAAATTAGCACTATGCCTTGGTGAAGTTGATCATTGGATGAAAACGCATCGCCTTAAATTAAATACCTGTAAAACTCAGCTTATGAAGATTGGAACGTGGCAGCAATTGTCAAAATTACAAATTGGATCAATTAATATTTGTTGTGATTCAATCGATTTTTGTGCATCTGTGCGCAATCTGGGAGTAGTTTTTGATAGTAGTCTATTGATGAAGGACCATGTTAAATCACTTACAAGTGAATGCTATCACCATATGCGTGGATTTAGAATTGTCCGGAAGTCGTTAAGTAGACACATATTACAAAGTCTGGTGCATGCATTCGTACATTCAAGGCTGGATTACTGTAATGTTTTGCTCTACGGCACTGCAAATAATGTGATTAGTCAGCTGCAGTCAATACAAAATCGAGCAGCAAAGATTGTAACAGGTAACAAAGTTTGAACATGTGACCCCAATTTTGAGTGAATTGCATTGGTTAACTGTTGAAAAAAGAATTGTTTTCAGAATTGCTGTGATGGTTTATAAATGCAGAAATGGCCTGGCTCCCAAATACCTTCAAGATAAAGTTGCTCAGAGGGATATTCCTATGCATCGACTTCGACTGCGTTCAGATTGTTCAGATTTGTTAAAAGTTCCTTTTGCTAAATTGAAGATTGGATCACGTAATTTTTCTATTGTAGGACCGACGATCTGGAATAGTCTGCCACAGTACTTACGTGATCCGGGTGTCTCCCTGGAAAGTTTCGAAAAGAATGAAAGCTA